AATTGTTCGAGTTTAAAATAATTTTAAATCAAAATTCTGAAAAAATGGGATTTATAAGAAATTTTTATTCAATTGTTTAAAGAATCTTGAATTTGTTAAAAAAAATTTATGCAAAAATTATGAAATTAATTGAAATTTTGCGAAATTTTATTAAAAATAACACAACTTGTTAGCAAATTTCATTAGGGATTTAAAAAAAATCTTTATCTCAAAGAATTTTAATTTAAAAATTGATAAATAATTGAATGGACTTTTACTAAGAATCATAATTAAATGTATTCATATGATTGATAGTGTAAAAAGTATCATTAAATGTTGTAAATTGCATCTAAAATAATTTCATTACGACAGAGTGATAATTAACTACAATTTTTATTATTTAGTTAATTTTAAAAATATTTTAATTACAATTTTTTTTTAATAGAAGTTTCGTAAAATTTTATTTAAAATTCTGAAAACTTTGGTTTTTAAAAAAAATTTTATTCAAATTTTTCTGAATTGATTGATTCACAGAGAATTGATTCACAGAGAAATTTTAGTTAAAAATTCGAGAAAATAATTGATTATTAAAAGAGTTATATAAAAGTTTAAATTAAATTAATATACATTATAATAATGGTAAGTTCCTTTCCGTAAGCAAATTATCTGCATTCATTTGTTTGTTTTGAAAATTAAATTCAATTAAATTTTGAGGGTTAAGTATTGGCATTTTTTATTTTTTAATGTCAAAATTTTTAATGTGGAAAATACTTTACTTATTAAATTGTCTCGACTCTTTGGTAAAAAATCTAAAATTATCAAAAATTCGAAAAATTTCAAAAATCCGTTTTTCTTAAAATTCAACATTTCTTCCTCTCTTTTATGGGATTTAGCTTCATTATTTTTGTGCTTTTAGAAAATACTTTACTTATTAAATTGTTTCGACTCTTTGGTAAAAAATCTAAAATTATCAAAAATTCGAAAAAATTCAAAAATCCAAATTTCTTAAAATTCAACATTTTTTCTTCTCTTTTATGGGATTTAGCTTCGTTATTTTTGTGCTTTTAGAAAATACTTTACTTATTAAATTGTCTCGACTCTTTGGTAAAAAATCTAAAATTATCAAAAATTCAAAAAAATTCAAAAATCCAAATTTCTTAAAATTCAACATTTTTTCTTCTCTTTTATGGGATTTAGCTTCATTATTTTTGTGCTTTTAGAAAATACTTTACTTATTAAATTGTCTCGACTCTTTGGTAAAAAATCTAAAATTATCAAAAATTCGAAAAAATTCAAAAATCCAAATTTCTTAAAATTCAACATTTTTTCTTCTCTTTTATGGGATTTAGCTTCGTTATTTTTGTGCTTTTAGAAAATACTTTACTTATTTAATAGTCTCGACTCTTTGGTAAAAACTCTAAAATTATCAAAAATTCAAAAATCCGATTTTCTTAAAATTCAACATTTTTTCTTCTCTTTTATGGGATTTAGCTTCATTATTTTTGTGCTTTTGGAAAATACTTTACTTATTTAATAGTCTCGACTCTTTGGTAAAAAATCTAAAATTATCAAAAATTCGAAAAAATTGAAAAATCCAAATTTCTTAAAATTCAACATTTTTTCTTCTCTTTTATGGGATCTAGCATCATTATTTTTGTGCTTTTAGAAAATACTTTACTTATTAAATTGTCTCGACTCTTTGGTAAAAAATCTAAAATTATCGAAAATTCGAAAAAATTCAAAAATCCAAATTTCTTAAAATTCAACATTTTTTCTTCTCTTTTATGGGATTTAGCTTCGTTATTTTTGTGCTTTTAGAAAATACTTTACTTATTTAATAGTCTCGACTCTTTGGTAAAAACTCTAAAATTATCAAAAATTCGAAAAAATTCAAAAATCCGATTTTCTTAAAATTCAACATTTTTTCTTCTCTTTTATGGGATTTAGCTTCATTATTTTTGTGCTTTTAGAAAATACTTTACTTATTAAATTGTCTCGACTCTTTGGTAAAAAATCTAAAATTATCAAAAATTCGAAAAAATTCAAAAATCCAAATTTCTTAAAATTCAACATTTTTTCTTCTCTTTTATGGGATTTAGCTTCGTTATTTTTGTGCTTTTAGAAAATACTTTACTTATTTAATAGTCTCGACTCTTTGGTAAAAACTCTAAAATTATCAAAAATTCGAAAAAATTCAAAAATCCGATTTTCTTAAAATTCAACATTTTTTCTTCTCTTTTATGGGATTTAGCTTCATTATTTTTGTGCTTTTAGAAAATACTTTACTTATTTAATAGTCTCGACTCTTTGGTGAAAAATCTGAAATTATCAAAAATTCGAAAAAATTCAACATTTTTTCTTCTCTTTTATGGGATTTAGCTTCGTTATTTTTGTGCTTTTAGAAAATACTTTACTTATTAAATTGTCTCGACTCTTTGGTAAAAAATCTAAAATTATCAAAAATTCAAAAAAATTCAAAAATCCAAATTTCTTAAAATTCAACATTTTTTCTTCTCTTTTATGGGATTTAGCTTCATTATTTTTGTGCTTTTAGAAAATACTTTACTTATTAAATTGTCTCGACTCTTTGGTAAAAAATCTAAAATTATCAAAAATTCAAAAAAATTCAAAAATCCAAATTTCTTAAAATTCAACATTTTTTCTTCTCTTTTATGGGATTTAGCTTCATTATTTTTGTGCTTTTAGAAAATACTTTACTTATTAAATTGTCTCGACTCTTTGGTAAAAAATCTAAAATTATCAAAAATTCGAAAAAATTCAAAATCCAAATTTCTTAAAATTCAACTTTTTTTCTTCTCTTTTATGGGATTTAGCTTCGTTATTTTTGTGCTTTTAGAAAATACTTTACTTATTTAATAGTCTCGACTCTTTGGTAAAAACTCTAAAATTATCAAAAATTCGAAAAAATTCAAAAATCCGATTTTCTTAAAATTCAACATTTTTTCTTCTCTTTTATGGGATTTAGCTTCATTATTTTTGTGCTTTTAGAAAATACTTTACTTATTAAATTGTCTCGACTCTTTGGTAAAAAATCTAAAATTATCAAAAATTCGAAAAAATTCAAAAATCCAAATTTCTTAAAATTCAACATTTTTTCTTCTCTTTTATGGGATTTAGCTTCATTATTTTTGTGCTTTTAGAAAATACTTTACTTATTAAATTGTCTCGACTCTTTGGTAAAAAATCTAAAATTATCAAAAATTCAAAAAAATTCAAAAATCCAAATTTCTTAAAATTCAACATTTTTTCTTCTCTTTTATGGGATTTAGCTTCATTATTATTTGAATTTTTATTCAATAGAAAAAATGGAAAACTGAAAAAATTTAGAAACTTTTAAAAATTCCAGGCCTTTTCCATGATTTCCCTGATTTCCAGAAGCCTTTTAAAAATTCCATACCATTTTCATGATTTTCCAGATTCTGTAGGAACCCTGCTTTTGTCTGACTTTCTTCTAAATTATCGAATTCAGTGATTTCTGTGGTGAATTTGGTTAAGTTGTAAAATGATTAATTTCTATTTGAATTCGTTTTTTTTTTGAATGTAGAAAATCTGATGTTAATTTAATTCTTTTTTCGTTATGCACGGCAAAAAATATTTAGCTGGATGAACTACAGATTTCACTTTAGTAGCGAAATTTTTCAGTGCTTCAATTAATACTTTCGTTATTCTAGAGAAACTTATCGCTATTTCAAGTAAAACTTTTTTCATTGTGTAATAATTATTATTTCTTTGAAAAGTATTTTATTTAAAATGGCTTTATAAAATAAGCAATGCAAAAGATGACCCAGATACTAATTGTAATTGTTTTAGCCATAGTTTAAGTCTAGTAATGTAAATTCTATTTAAATTGAGACCATTGAGTGAAATTATTTAAATTTTAGTTAGTTAAATCTCTTTGTTAGGTTATAATAATTATTTCTTTAAAATTTTTTAAATTGTTTAAAATAAGCAGCACAATACAACATTCCCGCGCGCTTGCGCGCGGATAGTTTGGCTAGTGTTTAATAATTGAAAAATGCTCGAATAATTGAAATTTGGTAAAATTGAATTATAGAAAAGTGTATTTCAGAAATATTTTAGATGAACTTTTCTTTTTCTTTAAATAATTGAATTTTCAGAGAACTTTCTCAAAAATTATTTAAAAGAGAATTGATTCAGAAAAGAATTGAATTGAAATCTTGAAATTAATTTTGAAAAATTTACAGAAGCAATTTTGATAAATTATTATTGAATTCGAAAAGGGAAAAGAGTCAAAATACTTTCTGAAAAACTGTGAAAAATTTTTTTTGGAAAAAAAATTAAATTCTTGTGATATCGTTGCTTTAGTTATTATAGAAATTATTTCGAAATTGGCAAAAATAGTGAATTCTTTTTAATATGTCAAACAATGGGAAATGAAAGTTTAAATTGTTAAATTGATTGTCGAAATCGGGTTTCAAAGATGTTTATACTTGATAACATATACGTTATCGATACGAATTTCCTATGTGATACGATAAAGTTGCTTTATTGTCCAACAGAGTTGTGTATTATGCCACTTATGTTAGGAAGCACTATGAGGCCGTATAATGAGACACTTTGATAGCGTTTAATGGAATACTCTATGAAGCAACAGTCGAGGGAGGCGCAAACTCTATCCACCGAAAACTAGCCTTAACAGTACTAATTAATGTCTTGCGTATTGTGACATTGTTTAGAAAAAATTCACACAGAATAGAAATTTCTTCTAAATATCTTGATAACCATTTATACGTTAAATTTTCCCTGAATGAGCAAAAATTCGTTCCATTTCATTCTATTTTAATTTGTACCTCTGTGTTTTTCTTGAATTTTTTCTTTTTTTCTATTAATTCAATTAAATTCATTATTAGAATTAAAAATTAAAATTAAACATAAAAATTAAAAATTAAAAATTAAAATAATTAATTTAAATTAGTTTAAAATTAATTAATAAATTGAAAAAATGTACTTGAAAATTTAACATTTTATTGTATTTTCAGATTGAGAGAACTCGCTGCTAGCAATAGAGAATACATAGCAGAGCTCGGGGATCAAATAAGACGAAAACGAGAAAGAAATGTGGTAAGTTGAAATTAATTAATTGCTGTTTCAATATTCAATCAGTATGAAATCACATTTAATGGCAAACAACCATTTAATTTATTTTCCATTATTACTATGCACTTTTTATATACGCTTTGCATTTTCTATGTTTCTATACGAATGTAGAAGCAAAAAATTGTGTTTGATTTAAAAATGGCGACTATACTTATCATAATCAATTTCGTTGAACATTATTTGCATATTTGCATTGAAGTCTTTGCTCTTAGTTAATGTAATTATTACATTTTCATAATGTGAGAAAGTATTTGCTTTTTTTCATTTCATGGTTGGGAGTAATTATTATTAATTATAGGAAATGTGCTGCTGTAGATTATTCCGTTTCTTTTTGTTCTGCCGTTGTAGATTATTCAATATTTTATAGATATGGTTTTCTTTTTCTTTTTATCTCTGATGCTTTCTATTTAATCGAATTCTTGTGTTAGTGTCTCTCTCTCTTTCTCTCTCTGTATATTTTTGGTTTAAAAATAATATTTTAAGGAGGAACATCGAATGGAGCAGGAAAGATGTCGGAGACATTTCGATACGTGGAGGAGTCTATGGGGTAAACCAGGACACGGAGCTCCAATAGATCACGTTCAGAGGAGCAATCTTTATAATATACTTTATCGACCGTCCGTTTACTAAATTCAACTCTAATATCGTGAATCTTAAATTTTCTTTTTGCGAGCATGTAGAGATTCGTTTCCGTTTTGAGGAGAAAAAGAAAAATTCTGTTTAAATTTAGTGAGAAGAATGGTTGGAATATGGATTTTATTTGAATTGTTGACAAACTGAATTCTTTTTTTTTATCGTATTTGGAATTCAATTGTTTTTTATTTTTATTTAGAGATGCTTTCAAGATATTTATTTTTAAATTTAAAAAAAGAGATATTTTTTATTTTTGTTTTGAAGATTATTGAAGATTATTTTGAAGAGTTTAAATATAAAGAAAGAGATATTAAATTTTAAATTTGTTATTAGTTTAAAAATATTTATTTAAATATAAGGAAAGGAATATTTTGTCAGTATTTTTGTATTTTTGTCTAAAGATTATTTTGAAGAGTTTAAATATAAAGAAAGAGATATTAAGTTTTAAATTTTTTATTAGTTTAAAAATATTTATTTAATTATAAAGAAAGCAATATTTTTTCAGTGTTTTTTTATTTTTGTTTAAAGATTATTTTAAGGAATTTAAGTACAAAGAAAGAAATATTAAAGAATATTAAAAATAAAAAATACTAAAAAAATATTTAAATATCTGGGGATTTCATCTCTTTTTGTAATTCTTTTTGGTTCAATTTGGTAAATTATTATTTTTAATTTTCATTAAAACATTGGAAATTATCGTTCACACTTGAGTTTTTTTTTTTTTTTTTGAAGAGAAAAGGGAAAATAATTATTGTAAAACGTAACGCGAATGAGTCGGGACTTTTTTTCTATTTGAGAAAGTAGGACGGCCTTGAAGTCTATTTCATTGTATACGCTTTCATTGTTTTTAACTATGACATGAACTCTGATTTCGGTGAGAAAGTGTCCTTGTTGTAGCAAACAAAAGGGGTGAGAGTGACAGAGCCAATTTAATTTCAGCAACACATGAATACATTTGTAGTTTTTGATGGAGTTTTAGATTTACACGTACAACAAAAAAGGGTAAACTTTTTTGTTACCATTTTCTTTCGTTGCTATTTTTTTACTGTGTATACTTTTTCTCCAATTCATTCGGAATATTAAGGAGATGATTAATCTTTGAGAGAGGGCAGTTTTAAAAATACTTTTAAATATAGAAACACTTTGTGGAGAAATGAAATGACAGTTTTGATTAAAAGTTTACTTAATTTTTTTTAATGGTATTAAAAGCAGTTTTTGATTTATTAATTAATGTTAAAAATAGGTGAGAGTGGTGAAAATATGAATATCCGTGAAAGTCGGGTTTTTATTTATTTTAATATTGAAAGGACACTTAAAGAAAGCACTTTAGCAGTTAATTAATTTCGTTTTTTTTTTTAATTATGTAAATTGATGATTTTAAAAGGTAGATTTTTATGAGTTTTTTAGTCTTTGTAGGAAATTAAAAATTTCTAGAGACTATTTATTTGAGAAGGTATTTTTTTTCATTTTTGCATCTGAACTTGGTACCTTAAGGTCGTAATCTAGTACTCGGCCTTGAGTGAAACAGTCACGCAATCTACATAGATTAATGAAATTTAAGAAGATAACGTTAATTTCACTTTGCGTCATTCGCAGGTTATATAACTAATTTAAAAATATTTCTAAAATACACGTGATGTGGAAGAATTATTTTACTTTCTGACATATTAAATACTGTTTGGGTAAATTTTTTCTTCAAATAGACTTTTTTAAATTGGAATTTTATAATTAAAGTTGTGATGAAATTTTTGAAATTACATTTTTTTTACTCAGAATTTATTTATTATTATTTTTATTACTGTTATTATTAACAGTTTATTAATTTTTCTAAATTTTTAAAAATTTGTATCTACTTTTTTTTGAATTTTATGAATATTATTAAGATTTTGTTATTGAGACATGGCATTTTTTTGTTCTGAAATTCTAAAGGTACTTCTATTATTTATTGAAATGAAACAAAATTTTTTTGAATCAAATAACCGATTACTTGTCTATTATCAAATAAATATTTTGTTTGCCTCATAAACTAAAATTACCACGAATTCTAATACAAAATATATAATTAAATTATTACTTATAAATTATTTAATGAATAATTTTACATAAATATTTCAAAATTTGGAGAATTTACAAATTATCTTTATAAATAATAAAAATCTTCTCCGAAATTTAATTGTTTTCAAAAATGTTTCTCAATTCAATAATTTTCAATATACCTATCTACTATTTCAATAAAATTACGCAAAAGAAATCAATTATTAAGGAATAGTTTTCTTATAAAATTCTACGCCTACATTTAATTATTTACATAAATAATAAAAATTTCACAGAAATTCAATTATTTATAAATTTTTTAAAAATTTCTTCGAAATAATTCAATTATTTAATAGTTTTAAGAAACATTAAATTTCTCAATAAATTTTTTTTTGTATTTAAATAATTGAATTCTTATAGAATTTTTAAATAAAAATTAATTTAACAATGAATTTTAGTTAAAATTTTAGATAATAATTCAATAGGTATTAAAATAGCATTATAGCGTGAAATATTAGAAATAATTGAATTTTGTAAAGGTTTCAAATTAAATTCTTTGAAAATCTGAATTTTTCATACTTTTAACTAACAATTATGTAGAATTAATTTTTTTGAAACAGTTTTTCTAGTGAATTTGAAAATTTCCAAAGAACTTTTTCATAAATAATTAAAAATAATAGATTTAAAGAAGAATTTTAATTAAAAATTCCAGGAAATAAGAATATTATAAAATAATGATTTTATCACTCGGTTTTTATAACTAAAATTCAATTATTTATAAATTTTAAAAAAATTTTTTGGAAATAATTCAATTATTTTCATAAATAATAAAATTTTTACCAGGATTCAATTATTTTCGTAAATAATAAAATTCTTTTTAGGAATTCAATTATTTTTATAAATGATAAAATTCATCAGAATTTCAATTATTTTTTATTTTTTTTTTAATTCATTGATAGAATTTAATTATTTAAAAATTTGTTGATAAAATTCTTTCTGAGGATTCATTTGTAAGAAACATTCAATTATTAAATAAATTATTATTTTTGTAATTAAATAATTGAATTCTCGTAGAATTTTCGAATAAGAATTGATTTAAAAATGAATTTCAGTTAAAATTTTAGATAATAGTTAATTGAATATAAAAAGCATTATAGCGAGAATTTTTAGAAATAATTGAATTTTGTAAAGGTTTCAAATTAAATAGGGTAAATGCACTAGTAGTCGGACACTTAAGGATACAATCTTAAATTATGGTTTTTTTCTTGAAATAGCAAATATCTTCTGTGTTTATAAGCACATTATTAATTAAAGGAGTTCTTCAGGATTAAAAATCATATAAATTTGTTACAAATAGTTGAGTATTTAATAAAATATAAACATTTTAATAAAAAATTACAAATGCTTTAGTAGTCGGACACTTTTTCCCCTTGTTTCTATAGTCGGACATCTGTCAGATATTTAGAATTTATAAAGTAAAAAAGATAATTTTTTAATTGCTATCTGCTGGAAAATGGAATTAAAGCATATTAGAAGTTATTAATATAATATTTAAACCCTATAAGTTTTAATATTTATGATTAATTATCAACAAAACTTTGTGCCACTCATCGCGCTACTCGAAAATGGTTGTATCTATAGTCGGACACCATGATTTTTAAAACATTAAATAAAATATTTCTTGTTTAATTATTTTCGAAAATAACACTATTTTCATAAAATATAAACTTTACACATTCTTCCAGTATATTTGTTAAAGTAATTATCACGATGCATTATTATTTATTTGCCAAAAAACACGAAAGTGTCCGACTACTAGTACTGTCCGACTATACCCGCACTTACCCTACTTTGAAAATTGGAATTTTTCATTCTTTTAACTACCAATTGTGTAGAACTAATTTTTTTGAAGAAGTTTAATTGATTTTTTTTTTAAATTAATTGAATTTTTTATTTTCTAGTATATATTTAATTGAAGAATTTCCGAATAATGGATGAAATTTTGTAAAATTGAATTTCAATCAAGTAGATTTGAAAATTCTCAAAGAACTTTTTCAAAAATTATTAAAATTTATAGATTTAAAGAAGAATTTTAGTTGAAATTTCTAGAAAATAATAATAATTGAATTGAAATGAAGAAAATAATTTTAAAAAAGTTACAGTTACAATATTCATATAATATAGAATGACGATTTTATCACTCGGCCTTCTTAATTATTATTTAGTATGAATATCTTTATGTTTTATAATAAATATAATATTCTTAAATTATTGAATTTTAAGTGATTTAAATTTGA